GGGGAGAGAGAGAGAAAGAAAAAATAAAATTTCCGGCCGAAACGTATATCCATCGAGATTCCTTTTGCAAGGAGGGATCGTTCGATCATTGACTCGGTTTCGAATTCAGATCCGGGATCCTGTTGTTGTCCATTCTCACGGCTCGATCATTCGAAAAAATGAGGAAATCGTTTTGTCGTTTGGCCGACGCATCGCCCGAGAAATGTCAACCAGGCTGTGATTAATCCAAAACGAAACCAAAAAAAAAAAAAAAAAAAGAAGTAACCAAAAGGGGGTTGAAGAAGAGAGAAAAGAAGAAAAAAGAAAAAGAAAACGACGCGATGATTGAGGAGACGATTATATATATATATATATATGCAACAATAACAACAACAAAGATCGAGTCCCTCTTGTGATACATAGAGGGAAAGAGGGGAGAAGGAAATAGCATAGAATCGTTTAAACAGAAATATTGAACTTGTAGGCTTTCGAAGAGCTTTATATTTTAATTTTTTATTCTACCTAGTCTGTGTCTAGTCATTTTTTTTTTTATATATATATATATATACATATACATATACTTTGCATTAGGATTTAGCATTCGATTATAATTATTCGTTCGATGTACGAACGAACGTTTTCCGATAAGATATTTATTTATAATATTCGCGTGAACCGAAACCAAAGTAACTATTTAAAACTTAGGATAAATTATTTTATATTTTATATTTTGAAGATCTCGAGGAACTCTCGAGAAGATCAAGTGCAATTTCATTTTTCTAGATTAATATTCCGTTGATTCGTTTTTTTCTTTTCTTTGTTTGTTTTACCTTTACCAAAGTACGTTGTTCCTGAGAAATCATCACGATCGAACGTCGCGTCTTGTGCAATTCGTAATTTATTTCATTACGACATGTATCTCTGGAATGAATACACGTACGTTTACGTATAAAGATCCGTTCGCGAGACGCTTTGGTTGTGTTTATGAACTTGTATTGTTCCTCGTTTGTTTTCGTTGGAGTTAGCTTGTTATCATCGCGATTCGTTCAATCTCATTGAGACAACGATGACAATTAGAGACATTTTTTTTTTTTTTTAAAAATTAGGATTTATCCGCAAAACGAAACGGTACAGCACGCAACATCACGTACTTAAGTTGATACATCAGTTATCATAGAAGTCATTTGTGCCTACCCTGATGTGAAATGGCAACGGACGGTACACATTGCGAATATTTTTTTAAGCACGAAATAAATAAAACATTTGGACATTTAACGAGCGATGCCCGGTCGAAAAGAAAAAAAAAAAAAAAAAAGAAAAAAAGAAGAGTTTAGCGCGAGCTTCATGATTCATCACGATTCTGGCGGAAGCCAAGGAAGAAGGATAAGAGGTGGAAAAGAGAGATGATTAAAGAACGAAAACCAAAAAATGCGCAAAGTACTTTAGAGAAAGAGAGAGAGAGAGAGAAAATACTAGTGCAGGCGAGCGATGGAACGGAGAAGAAAACTCTGATCTAGCGGAAATAATCAACCAAAGTACCAACAACTATTCTATGTATAAATATATAAATAATATGAATTATTGAAGGAGTATATATATATATATAAATATAAATATTATAAATATAAAATATAAATGAAATATATATATATATATATACACATACATATTGACCGATCGAAGAAAACTAGAAACTTAGTAAATTATTATATAGTTTAGCTAAATCAACATGGAGTAAATTATTATTTCGAAGGACAGGGAATAGGAAGACCGGCTCTAGTCTGGCGCAATTTATGACACGACTAAAAGCTATCTCAAATTTATACGCTATTTAAATAAATATAACAAATGCTACGAGAAAAAAAAAAATAATATATATATATATATAAATACATATATAAATGTATAAACGAATATACGAATATACACGTATATGCACGTATGTACATTGTATGGACGTATATATTTATTTATATATTTATATATAATATACGTATAAATAATGTATTTATAGTTTACATAGGGGCAGGCAACACCCTTCTCTTTACTTTTCCACCTGTTCGTACGATACGTTGCCTGTTCGTACACACTTGGCACACAAAACGAATCATTGCAAACGAGACACTAACTTGATAACTTCACTTATACATATGTACGTACATACATACATACATACACGAAACCAAATATACGATATAGTTAATGTAAAAGAAACAATCGTGGTACATACGTGTACGTGGTTCACGTGTACGTGAACGTGGTGGCGCGTACAAGTAATTACTCGCGAGATTATTAAGAGAAAAATTAAGGGAAAAAAGGAGGAGCGCGCTATATAATTTCTCTCCTCCGATGAAAAGCCCAAACGACTTGCTAGTTATTGATGAAATATTATTATACCTATATATATATATATATATACTTATATATATATATATATATATATAAAAAAAAACCAATTAATGAATAACAGTAATAGTAATATTAATAATACAAAAAAATAACAACAATAATAATAGTGACAACAATACTTTATAAGACGTATACATAATTTATACTACGCGATAAACGTATATATATATATATATGTATATGTATATATATATATATATATACGTATATATATTCTTGTCAGTTTTAGGAATGCTGAAAATTCGTCTAGAAGCATATATATATAAATATATATTTTCTATATATACACGCATATAATATATATGTATGTATATATGTATAGACTGATGTATCGAGGGAGCGGGCGTAGATTCGCTGAAATAACGCCACCGAAAAAAAAAAAGAGAAAAAAGCGCGAGAGAAATCTTTGCCGAGACGTGCACCGAAACGAATCGAAGAAACGTGAATCCAAGAGAATGAGAATTTTTAACCATCCGAACGAAGGAAATCTGGTACGAGATCTGGTCTTCCTTGGACGACAACTCATGGATTACAACGTGGAAATCGAAGAAGAGAAATGGCAAGTGTAACGGAGAGATCCGGCTGATCACAAATCAAATTTGCTAAACAAACTATCCGAAATATGTGTTCGATGAAGGCAAATGGTAAATATGTAAGAGAAGGAAACGTACGAATTAACGCAACCGTATGTTTGCCAATCCGAGGTCCAATCACAGACCGTAAGAGCAATCGCGATCGGAACGCCCTCTGAACACGTTGCCCGGCGTTGATCGAATCACGGACACGAGCGTAAACATAATTAGGAGATGCGTGCATCAACAGCACGCGTCTGTCTTCGTTCGCTCGATGCTTTGGTTTGGACACGCGACAGAAAGAGAGAGAGAGAGGGAGGGAAAGGTGTGCGGGCTGTGTGTAGTCCGCAGATGGGCGTTTCATTTCTCATGGCATTGTGCACGTCTCCCGGTACGCGTCCGGCAAAGACGATTAGGGGACAAGCTGAGCGGATTATAGCTGGATACTTGTCTACGAGTTTCCTATTCCCGCGGCAGCAGACCAGTCCAGTCGAGTTTCTCTCCGCTGAAATCGAATCAACGCATTCCATTTTCGAGAATAGAATACACTGGCTATTATAGTGTCGTCGCTATTAGTACGCGTATACCACGGACACGAGCCCCTATTATCGTTCGTTTCTCGTATTTAGGATATATTAACATCGACGAGCATCCGTTTCGTGTTATTACTTGTTAATTAAGTTGTATCTCTGAAAATTTATTTTTTAGAAATTTTACGTTTCTCAATGGACAGTTCCCCAGTCGTCCTCGCTTTCGACTGTATTCCTTACACTCGGTTCGTTTACTTTATTATTGGAATCGGATTTATAATCGCGCTAATAGCGTTCAAACGGGTCGAATATTTTTACATAGTTTCGAGCGAAACAATATATGGGTTGAGTTTATACACGTAGTACGATGCGAAGTAGTAGAAGAAGGAGCATTAGAACCGTCAAAGTGATCGAGAATAGAGACACGCGCGCACACATACACACACACACACACACACACACACATGCATATATATACATACACACGTAGATTCATACGCACGCGCGCCAACGCGAATATACAAAGGAAGAGGGATAGGAAAGGGAAAGACACGTTTAATGGTAAAAAGAGAGAAAAAGAAAGAAGAAGGAAAAGCTTGTACGGCAAGTACCAATTGATGATATCACTACGATCTAAGCTTTTTAATGTTTAACGGTACATAAATAAAATAGTGAATATCAAGGTACTCAACCTACCCTAATAAAAAAAAAATATATACCATAATAATAGCTATAAATTCATATAAATATTAATGTATACATATACATATAAATGTATATAAACGAAGGTAAACGAAAATTGTAAACAAAACCGAAAACAAATACAACTATTTTATCCAACAAAGTTTTTGCTACAACCGAAGTAGTATGCATCTTGCTATGGAATAAATATGAGACTTAAGAAAGAAGTAAAAACGAGAGAGAGAGAGAGAGAGTGTGTGTGTGTGCGTGTGTGTACGAGTGAGTGTATGAAAGAGAGAGAGAGAGAGAGAGAGAAGAATATTCTTAGCTATAAGAAAAAGAAGAAAATAACGATAATAGTAATCTGTGAGGATCAGCTTCGAATTTATTTTTACAATGACGTGATGTAATGCTGAGACGAATTCGCTGCTCGCTAATTAACGTTCCGAATTCTACTCGGGAAAAAATTCAAGCGTCCTGACGCACGACGCACTCGGGTATCGAATTTTGTACCGAATCTCAGTTCGACGCCGGATCTCTAAGAATTCTCTTTTTAAAAGAAAAAAAAAAAAAATAAATAAATAAACAAAGGAAATATTCTCGAGCCGCCTAGTCCCCGTCGCTGAAATTTTTCTAAAAATATAAAATCGATACTCGTGTTCGTCGTTGTCCAATAGCATCGTCAGCCATAAAAATTCCACGGAAACTCTTCGAGAAAAGGCGGGACGAGAGAGGAAGACGAGGAGGGGAAGAATGGTGTACGGTGGCGATTCCACTCTTTCCAACTTTGGGGGAATTTCTTGGAATTTTTACGGTAGCCAAATGGGGACACGAATATATTCGAATAGGAAACGGAAATATATCCTTCATTCTCGAATATATATATACATACATATATATATATATACACACGTACATACCAACTTTAATGATATAAAAATAACGATCGAAACAACACCACATAATAAAAACATTTACTAAGCATTTACCACGAACCGTACTCGCACAACAAGATGGACAACACAGCTGGAAATTATCAAACCCTCTCGACACTGCTATACCGCGTTCATCGATCCAAATTTTACGTGGAAAATTACAATTGGATTCAAGTCACGCGCGCCGCGACCTGATATCCGGTAGCCGTGGTGTCGGTGATACTAGGAAACAGGGTATGTTTTTGCAATTATTTGCATAACTTGTAAACTAGCAACAAAATAAAATAAAACACACGTGTACACAGTTTCACGCCCCACGTTCGATTTTACTTACACGCGCGAATAAAACACACACGTTACATACGCACACGCACGCATACACGCAGAGGGAATCTATAGCTACCCGCTTACCGTACACCGTAAAAAAAGTAACACTACAGAGACACATGTTATCACGTGACGAACAACAGGAGGTATGGTCGCCATACGCATTCGATATGTACGTAAAAAATTCACGCGAGCTATGATATAACACGTTGTGTAACAAACGAGAGGCGAGCGGGGCTAAGCATTCACTTAATCGTATTATCTTCAACACGTATGAATATATTAAATTAGATAGAACTCGTCGTAGGCTTTGTAAGCGCGATTATTATTCAAAGGCTCGACAATTTCTGGACAGGATTTTCATGATCATCATCGTCGTTATTTTCGATGCGATTCCCGCGTATTATCTGCTATTCTCTGCTCCCTTTACTTGTTCGTTCATGCAATTTCTTCGAAAATATATCAGAGATACGATACAAATTACGTTGAATCACGTCGAATTCCTGCACAAAATAATACGAAATTAAATTTTTCTTGCAGAGCTATACAACAAAACTATATTTTCGAGTTTTTATAGCAAACTGGATGATAAGGGAGGAGCAGTAGTACATCACGAAACACATCAAAATCACGTTAATCATCGAAGAAGCGTCAGGCGAGTCACTCAAGCTCGTTCTTCCTTTCCTTTTCTATACACCCTCTCAGTTTCTTTTCCACCCGATTATAAGACAAGTTATCGATAAGATTGCTTTCTCGAGAGAGAAAAAAAAAAACAACATTCTCATGCGCGCGCGCGTACGCCAGATAAGAAGTGGAGCAAATTAGCGAATTAGTTGAGAAATTGTACTTTAAAAAATAGATTTGCAGTTACTTAATGATAAATCGAAGATGAAGAAGAAGAAGAAGAAGAAGAAAAAGAAGAAGAATAATTAAAAAGAAAAAAAGAAAAAAGAAAAAAAAGGAACATTAATTAATAAAAGTAAAAAATCGGCGTTATTTCAGACAAGTTCAAGCCGACCGATGTCAATTCCTTCAGGTACGCTTATGCGTTATCGCGAGAACAATGCGAAGAAAACAAAATAAAATTCGGTTTTTTCTAAACGTACCAAATCGATGTCTTTTCATTGCGACTGTATTAACGTTTAGGATCGGACACACGATTGTTGTAGTCGTTGGTCATCCAAAATTACTTTAGGACATTTGTTCGAGTGTTGTAGGTACGAGAGTTAAAAAAAAAAAAAAATAAAGAAAAAAAAGAAAAAAAGAAGAAAAAGTAAAGAAAAAGAAAAGAAGAAGAAGAAAAAAAAGAAAAAAGGGGGGAAAAAGAAAAAAAATATAAACGAAATAAATAAATCACACGTGTAATCTTGTATATTTACCCGGCCACATTTCGATCGACTATCCGGGACCAATCATACTTTCCGACACGAAACAACAAGCGTTTCCTAGCTCTGCCGTTCGGTATGCAAGAAAATTTTCTTAGGCGAATACAAAGAGGACAAAGAGAAAGAAAAGAAAGGGAAGAAGAGAGAAGAGAAAAGAAAACTTATTTAGATAGCGTAAAAAAAAAAAAAATAATATATATATATATATCGCGACGAGGGATACAAAATTTCACAATTTCTTCAGTTCCACACTTTTTATCCGGAGATAATAATTTCACGGTACCCGTCTTGGACCAACGACGTACGGAATCACGGAAGCGTGCAGAAGAATAAGGCTTTTTGCCGTGCGGATGGAATACGTCTGAAGCAGAACAACGGCGCGAGGAAACTCGCAACGATCCACATTTTACCGAGCTTAAAACAGTCGCCGAGTCTTTCTTTCTCTGATCGTGCGCGATCAACCAACAAAGCAAAGAGTCTTCTTCCTCCTGCGCGAAATTACGAAAAGAAAGAAAATGCAGAAGAAAATCTCGAACTCGTTTGATCAGGCGATCGCCCTTTCCCCTTCGATCGTATCTCAACGTACGTGGTGTACGACGATGCACCGTTCCTCGATCATCAAGTATTGGGAATATAATCGGGGAGGGAAGGAACAGGCGTCTTCATAGAACGAATGGATCTCCCCTTGGAGTTGGTTGTTAGGATTGATTGTTGAGAGAATTCCGTTGTTCTTCGTTCTTCTGCGAATTTCCGATTGGCGAGAGTTGCGTTTCGAAGTGAACGAGATCGGGGATAGAATAAAACTACGTGCGTCTACTCGGTCTATTCGGGAAAAGTTGAGAGAGAAGAGGGAATAACGATGTTGTTGCTACGTGTACGCGTCATCACTGTGGAGGAACGCGTGATCGATGTCGATTGACGAGGATGATTTCGTTTTGAAAACGTTTTCCTTTTCTTTTTTCCGTTCAAGGGACTCGATGTGTCGGTATTCGAGACCAATCGCGATTGGAACGGTATATATACATGTATACCTTGCACACGTGTGCACACGTGAGGGAGAAAAGATGAATTAAATTAAAAAAAAAATAAATAAAAAAATAAAAAAAAAAACAAGAAGGATAATTAAGTAATTGACACCGTGTGTTGCACACACGAATTATTAGAACGAAATAATTCGGCACGTTACGAATCGTCGATTCGTGGCGTCGGTTGAGTCGGTGATCGTTGTTCCATTTCGATGAGAAAGAGAGAGAGAGAGAGAGAGAAAAAGAAAAGAAAGAAGAAATCAATCGAAGATCAGTCTTTTCTTTCCGTTCCTCGCGCGGGCAATTAGCCAATTTAGCATCGATTAGGGAAGAAGGATTCTTGAAAATCATTAGCATAATAGAACGGGGGAGGGGAGAGACGAGACGAGGGAAAGGTCGGCCACGAACGATTTTCCGAATGAATTTTCGGACACCACGACGACATCTTCCTTAGGAAACTCGAGGTGGCCGTGGAAGAAAAATTTTTCATTTCGATCGCGGTGGCAGAGAGAGAATCGCGGGCCGAACAATTAATCGCTGAAACGACGCTGCACGTTACGAATCGACCTCTTGTAGGGAGTCGCTACAAAAAAATCTTGAATTTTTAGAAAGTAATTAGACCACCGTTAGCGGGAAATAAAACGGGATAGAGGGGAGCGTGGCACGTGGCATCGATTGCCGCGAGAGGATTTTGGGGAAAAAGGGAAAAAAAAAGAAAAAGAAAGAGAGAGAGAGAG